ACGACTGCTGGTCTTCTGACCCTGCAGCACAGGCTTCTGCGGTTTAGCCCGCAGCGCCACCACGTCCCTTAACGATCCCTTGAGGGGGCCCAATTTCTGTCTTTTCCTTCTGAGTCTCTCTCGGGTCATATTCCTCAGCTGCCTCATCTGAAACAAATTAGTAAGATGGGCAGAACTCATTGAAAGAAGGTGTCCCACCAAGTATCGAGGCCCCAAACCATTTAGGACCTTGAATGTTAGTGTCATCACCTTAAAGCTGGTGCAGAAATGAACAGACGTCCAGTGTAAGGCAGCCATAGTGGCAGAAAAATGTATTTAATCAATCTAAAAGTCTGGCCACCATATTCTGGATCTCCTAAAATCTCTGTAACAGCTTCCTGGGTGGACCCACATATGCTCTGTTGTCAATTTCAGTCCTCTGAAGATGCCGGCCACAGAGACTGGCATAACGTCGGGAAGAACAACCTTCAGAACACAGCCAAAGAGCCCGAAAAAACCCACAACAACCATCAAATAAGACTTTATTGCTTACTGTTCTTCAACACAAACCAAGAAGCTCTACTGTTTTCAGATATTAAAAAAGACGTTTTTAGCTTGCCCAACTCTCTCTTCTGCTCTTACATCCCTAGTGTATTCTCAAGACTACCAATGCATGGACCAGAGAGATGAGAAACCGGGTGTCAATGTAGGGATGCAGTTGCGCAATTCATCTAATATGGAAAGAGGCAAAATGAATCACAGATGCTATCTGGGTGTCCATCGACAGTGCTGAGTCCAGTAGTATGCCCAAACTCATCCTTTGCTTGTCTATCTAACAAGTAAAACTACCCACAAAAGTGACAGCTAGAGCAGTTTGCGTAAAAGAAATAATTCTTTCTACTGATGCACTGCAATAGAAAAGATGCAAAACAGAAATTATCTAAAAGTGGGTAAAAGAAATAATTCTTTCTACTGATGCATTGTAATAGAAAAAAATGCAAAGCAGAAATTATCTAGAAGTGGATTCAGGTCCCTGAAATACTTCATTTACTATTCCATCTCCTCTGTCTGGTGGCAACCATAGGCCACTAGATACCCTAATAGATTCACCAAGTAGGCCAGGCCAGGCCAGGCCAGCCTATTTCATCCCATCTAATTCATTCGATATCTATACCACCCATCTGCCGTGCAGGGACACCCATGACGGGCAGGTCATAGTGGAGAGTTCACGCAATGCACGTGACGCAGGAACTGG